AGTTACCCACGAAAATAGCATTTCAAATATTATTCCAGCTGCGTTAATATCCACATGTATTGCATACTATTGGAAAAGAAGTTTACTTGCAAAATTCCGTATTACACGAGAAGATAAAAATATCGACAGCCTATTTACCATCGCGAAAATCGATTTTCCCGAGGCCCGGCAAACGGTTCAGCGAAAAGCTGACAGCAGCCAGGACGTTCCGATGAAAACGTCCGTCTGGGAAACAGCTGTTCGCATCGGGCTAATTGAAATCCAAATGGCGGCGGCCAAGCCCCTCTCGTTCCCAGTCGGTTTTTCCGCCTGTCCCGTCCCGGTTTGCGAAAGAAGTCGGCGGAATCGCGTCGTCGATCGGCGCAAATAAATCCGCGACACACAGCGTGGTCCCCGTTGATGCATGATTTCATGGAATCGTCGTGGAACGGGGCGCGGGGAACACCGGGGGCCAGCCAGCGCAGCCGCGTGTGGGAAACTCGCCGGATGCATTATGTATTTATTGCTTTACTTACTTAGTTGGGAATTACTTTTGCCAGCGTAATGACTTTCAGGCAGCCCGCTATCTTAGGAATGCAATAGGCCTGATTTATCGCTCGGCCGGTGTTTTTCTCGGGCCAGTTTGTCGTTATCGCTGTACCTGTCCTGCCTCGTCCAGCGAGACGTCCGAGACGCTCCGGCTGTCTCGTGACCTCGAAACGATCGATCAGAGACGATCCAGGGACGATCCAACGACTTTTCCTGCTTTTCCTTCGATCTGACTTCCCCGACGTTCTCCTATCGATTTTAATTTTTTTTTTTCGAGATCCATAGAACGTCCGATGCGTTTTTTTAGTTTCTTCGTTTCCTTCGGTTGCGTTTCGAATTTTAATATTAATTGCTGATTGTGCGCAATGCAAAGATGTTCGCTGATCCGAAGATCTAGCCTTTTCGTCTAATATCTTATCGATTCGAAATAATTGAGGTGGGCATCAAATTTGTTCATATCGAAGGACGGATTGCGATGAAAATCGTGCAGCATCTAGCTAATTAATCTCGACACTTTTCAGTGTTTCAGGCGAGCCTTTTTCTTGATGGAAGCACAGACTCTGATAACTATCGCGCAACATCTGTCTAATCAATCTTGTCATAGTCTGTGTTCTAATCAAATTTAAGACTCGTCTCAAATAATTTATGAAACTCTTGTAATTTAAGCAATTAAGCTCCGTAAAGCGGTGTATACTTGGTGGAATAATATTCTGAAGAAATTTTTTTACTTACCGTGAAATTAACACGCAAGAGGAAGTGAAGACAGCATGGTGCAACTTCGAAAATATTTGCGCACACATACAGAGAGAGGGAGAGAGAGAGAGTGAGATACGAAGCAGACTAATCATTAAAATTATACATACTTTTGTCGAGTAATCGAGTGAACTTTGAAATAAATGAAAAACATTTCTTAAATCAATTTCGAACGATGTTGTTGAACATCGCAAATATGTATAAAAATTTCAGAAATGGATCTATGAAAATCGGAAAAATTGATGTGTGAAAAATTACAAAGGTGGATACGTAAAAATTGCAAAAACGTGTGAAGTATAAAAGAACGGATAAAAATTATTATCGAAGGAGAAACATTTCTACGCGGCTTCCGGTTCTTGCAATTTAGGCATAACGAACAGTTTCTGCGATGAATGCACGTACGTATGATTTTCGTTGGTAATTTGATTAATTACCGCAACGTCTAATCACACAATCAATTTTGTAAAAGCCTCGGAACACTTTCGAGCGAAGACTTTCGAACCGTTACGTTTACGATTCTTACGAAAGCACAGGCAAATTAAATCAGATTACAATGCAAAACTCGCCAAATGACCGAAGTAAAAGTGAGCATAAAGTGTGGTCTAAGCAAGCAAACCTCGAGTGAATGTCTCGTGTGAAGGGTTTCCAAGATGCGCCGGCGATGAACGATTCATTTCTGGAACACATAATCGCGATAATCACGGACGTAACCTAGAAACGTCTGCCGGAGGATACGTGGACGCTCACCGGAAACCATCGCGCGGCCATTTTATCCGTGGACTACCCAAGACGTTCCTGAATTACTACTTAATAGGAGTTTTCATTCGCTCGGCCTGTAATCAATAGGATGCTTGCGTGAATGCGTTGGAAAATAAACTGAAACGCGATTCAGTTACAACCAAAAACATCCAAGCTCACCGGAAATCAGTCATCTTGGCCAGCAACAAAAATCCATAAAATCCTCTGTCACTTCGAATTATATGCAATTATCTGCAGTGATTAGACGGTGGTTCTTTATGCAGTTTCTTACTTTTGCGGCTAGCTGTTTTTAAATTATATTCGGACAACGTTGGTTTCCGTTGGTTAGCAAATTCATTATAGCACTCTGAACTGAAATTGCTGTTAATCTTTAACGACGCAAGTATCATTTTGTATTATAAAGTTTACACTTGCCATAAATGCATAAACGTGCACAATATATTCTAAAATGCTGTGGATTTCTGGTGACGTTATTGCTGTCTTGCAATTAAAAAATTTCCACTCGCCAAAAATGCACAAAAATGCAACGTTCAGTTAAGGATGCTGCTAATCTTGTATGATACAATTACTATCTTGCATTAAAAAAATTGCACTTGTCATAAGTGCATAAAAATGCGTAATAATATATTTTAAAATGCTGTGAAATTCTGGCGACGTTATTGCTGCCTTGTAATGAAAATATTTCGTCTCACCATAAATGCATGAAAACGCAACGTTTAGTTGAAGATGCTGTTAATCTTGTATAATATAATCACTATCTTGCATTGAAAAATTTGCACTTATCATAAGTGCATAAAAATGCATAATATATTAAAAAATTCCATGAATTTCTGGTTTCATTATTGCTATCTTGTATTAAAAAATTTTCTCTCACCATAAATACAATTATTCAGTTAAAGATGCTGCTAATTTTTGATGACGTAACTGCCGTATTGCATTAAAAAATGTTCACTTGTCGCCAGAACACAGAAATGCACAGTATTTTTGAAAACGCTATGAATTTCGCAAACGCTGTCTAGCGTAAAAAAAGTCTGCACCCGCCAGAAATGCATAAAGATGCAGAATTCGGCGATGATGTTCCAATTCGAATGGGATCGCGCGATGAGACGATGGACAGAGTAAACGAACCCGGCTCGCCAGCGCCAGGTAAATTTGATTATGTATCTAGTGATCAGTAAATTCAGGATCGCCGGATCGGCGGTGGGGGAGATCGCGTGTAAATCACGTTGTATCCCTTAATTACGGAGTTGTTACAGAGAGGCGGCGTCTGGAGATACTTTATTGCCCCGTAAAAGTTACAACGAGACATAACTATGCTCGGAAATTAAGGAAGCTTAAGCTAATACAAGTAATTAGCGTGGAGTGACGTGGCGAGATTTCGTTCTACTAATCAGACCGATGCGAGAGATACATATTGCGACCGGGGCCGAAACTGCGCAGCGATCGCTCGTCTGTAAACTCATAAATAATTATCTCAATATTCGTGAAACGATCTACCAGACGAGAGCGAGCTAATTAATTAGAATAACGCCGGCGAACGACTTGACGGCGAGACTCTCCCGGTTGCAACACCGGCTACCGAATCTTCCTTGGCTTGTTTGGTCGCGATCGTTACATTCGCCCAGCGGGGTTAAATGAAAACGTTGTGCCAAAATCACAGAACTTTTGGTAGCAATTTTTTTACGTCAAATTTGAAATGTGCTGTAGAACGAGGGAAAAATAGAGATAATTCTAATAAATAAGCGCGATATAAGAGATAAATAAGCGCGAACATTTTTCAGCCTTGAAAATTTATGTCAAACTGGAAGTATTGCAACAAAAATTGTGATTATATTTATACAATCATTTCCCGGAGATTTTGACGCGCCCATTTCAAATCCGATCGCAAAATTGATCTACTATTTATGGAACTTTTTCATTCGGCCCCGATGTATTACATCGTTTACGCGATTTTGATCATTATTATCGTGTTACTGATTTTTCTACATCTTCGTTTTCACGGGTTGTTTGCAATTTGAAAATATATTTCGTGGCGCGAACAAGTTGTTCAAGAGAAAACTCTTTCGTTCTGTCGATTTTTATACGAAATTTTTTCGCGCGAGTCTTGGCAAACAGAAATTACATAAATATGAATTTTTTTATATTCCTCTTTCGTTTCGTAGATTGTCGAATAAAATCTCAAGTAACAACAATTAGAAAAAATGGATTTCTGTTTTAATAATTACGGTAAGTCGAAAACGGCGCATCGTGAAATTCTTTCAATGTCACACTTTCGCCTGCTCAAGTTCGCCGTAAATTAACAAAATCTGCAGTCTAGCGATAATGGTAATGAGAAAGATTCTTTTGCAATGAATCTTGATCAACACTTCTGGATATAGTTAGCCGACCGACGAACGCCGATATAATTTTTGTTCACTCTTTATTCATAAAATATCGTTCTAACGATGGAGTGTCTGGATCATTTAAAATTAACACTGCATGATAAATGGTGTCTCGAAATTACGCTGTGTTACAAATTCATGCAATTATTTCTAGTTAATTAAGCTTGTTCGCTTAACAAGCGTATCAGCATGTTCGTCGTAGTTACAAACCGACCCGAAACGTTCAACAAATGGCCTAGTCGCCTTAACAATGATTAATGACATTTCTCCGCCGGCTTGCATACCTAACTTCCTCTAGATTTCTTCGCTTCATAAAAAATTCATGGGCCAGAACCATCAAATTCTATCCATTTTATAAACCTGAATAATCGCTGATCAATATACGACTTCGTTTAAACAAAACCAAATAGGAATTCGACTCTTTGCTATTCAAAATATTCCCGAACCCAACCATAAGCACGAAGTGCAATCAATCCAGCACTTTTTTGTTTTTTCTTTTCTCGTTGATCGAGCCTCGATCATGTTTCGCGGTTGATTTCACACGGTTTCGTCGCGAAGACGGCCATCTTCGACGACAGCATGAAGCATCGGCAGCCAAACTGCGCCGATTTCGTTGGAGATCGAGAAAACGAGGTGCAGATAATAGGAATAAAGAGTCGAAACAACGGGTGCGACGAGGTACGTTTCTATCGCTGCCTTCGCGTTCCTCTCTAATCAGGTCGCCTAATTATTACGTATTCGTTCGTTTTATCTATTTATTTATCATAAACGGGATCATGTTCCATTAGCGCACGTACCGTATAAAAACAACAATTAAAACGCGATACATACATAGTACATACGTTTAAATGGACCGAGCTACGATTAGTTGTATTAAGCTGTTCCATTTAATTTTTAATTACGATTACATTAAACCTGTTATTTCTTTATTCGCATCGATAGTTAGACGTTCCTGCATTCAGAACAAATATCGTGCTTGTACAACGTCCGCAACAATGTGTCGGTGAAAAGCCCAGATATCCGCGAGCCCCCCCCTCTAAGTGGAAACTCGGCTTTCAATCAGCGGCGATCTCATTAAAGACTGATTACACGATTATACCATTAGCGCACAATTTATCTTCATTTGCCAGGTGTCCGGCCGCTTATGAACGGTGGCGTACACGGGCTGCGAGAAACCCATAAGCTGCGTCCCGATCAGATTAGGTCTCGATCGCCGCGCAGCGAGCTATAAAAACCCCGCTAAAATCCCGGTTGCAGCGGCCGCGCGCGCGGCCGATGTTTATTATTTCGTCGTAAAATACGGGCCGCCGGACTAATTGCATAATTGATTACATAAAGGCGTTTCGACCGGGCCGCGCCGCGGCCGTAATATCGTTACGTAAAGAGGCAACGCGTTGTTCGGCTTTCGTTGTTCCGTTGCGTTAATGCCCTTCCAGCATTTCTCGCGGAACCGTGCGAAATTATCTAATATCCTGCGCATTACAATGTCCGGCGAGATCGCGGCGGCCGATCCCGACGGAAAAACGGGCGAGCCTCGACCGGGAACGCGGATCGCTTTTATTAATTATTCACGCCGCCGCGAGGCTTACTACTCGTTTGGGATTCCCCGCTCCGTACATTGTTAGCCGGCGCGAACTGGCAATCGCGTTCATCAGATTAGAACCGGGAATGATAAGCCCGGGGATGATAGACCCGATCCGCGAGCTGCCGAATGATTTACAATGGGACAAACCGGTGCCGACTTCCTGAATGCTTTCCCTAATTTATCTTGCACTTTACACCCACTTGTTACGAAAATCGTCGGCGGAGACGGCGGATTTATGCGTTTCTGGCTAGAGTGAATGGAATTGTTGAATACCATTTGAGAATTTTCTTGGGGCTGTCTCGTCTAATGTATGAATGATGGAATTCGCGCTGAACATTTGCCAGATCTTCCCAAGATCGTACGTGTATTCTAAAAGTTTTATAACAGAGAATTGCATTTTTTTAGTAATTCCGACATTTAGCAAATAATTGAATGAACTAGGGTGAATATTTCGAGCTGGAAATATTCTGTTAAACGTTCAGGATCTATTGAAGATAATTGAATAAAATAGAACGAACGTCGCGAGCTAGAAATTTTATTAAATATTCAAAGTGTATTGAAAATAATTGAATAAACTAGAATGGATATCGAATGTTCGAATTGATGTATTAAAAATAATTGAATGAACTAAAATGAATATTTCGAGCTAGAAATATTCTGTTAAATATATAAAACGTATTCAAAGTAATTGAATAAACTAGAATGCATATCACAAGCTAGAAATTTGATTGAACGTTCGAATCGATGTATTAACAGTAATTGCATGAACTAAAATGAATATTTCAAGCTAGAAATATTCTGTTAAATATATAATAGGTATTAAAAATAATTGAATAAACTAGAACAGACGTCACAAGCTAGAAATTTGATTGAACGTTCGAATTGATGAATTCAAAATAACAGAATGAACTGAAATGAATATTTCAAGCTAGAATTTATATTAAATGTATAAAACGTATTAAAAATAATTGGATAAACTAGAACGAACATCACAAACTAGAGATTTGTTTGGACGTCCNAAATAACAGAATGAACTGAAATGAATATTTCAAGCTAGAATTTATATTAAATGTATAAAACGTATTAAAAATAATTGGATAAACTAGAACGGACGTCACAAGCTAGAGATTTGATTGAACGTTCGAATCGATGTATTAAAAATAATTGCATGAACTAAAATGAATATTTCAAGCTAGAAATATTCTGTTAAATATATAAAATGTATTAAAAATAATTGAATAAACTAGAACGGACGTCACAAGCTAGAAATTTGATTGAACGTTCGAATTGATGAATTCAAAATAACAGAATGAACTGAAATGAATATTTCAAGCTAGAATTTATATTAAATGTATAAAACGTATTAAAAATAATTGGATAAACTAGAACGGACGTCACAAGCTAGAGATTTGATTGAACGTTCGAATCGATGTATTAAAAATAATTGCATGAACTAAAATGAATATTTCAAGCTAGAAATATTCTGTTAAATATATAAAATGTATTAAAAATAATTGAATAAACTAGAACGGACGTCACAAGCTAGAAATTTGATTGAACGTTCGAATTGATGAATTCAAAATAACAGAATGAACTGAAATGAATATTTCAAGCTAGAATTTCTATTAAATGTATAAAACGTATTAAAAATAATTGGATAAACTAGAACGAACATCACAAACTAGAGATTTGTTTGGACGTCCGAATTGCTTAAGAATAATTGAATGAACTAGAATGAATGAATGAATTCAAAATAATTGAATAAGCTGGAACGGACATCGCAAGCTAAAAATTTGATCGGACGTTCAAATTTCTCCATTCGAACTAATTCAATGAACAAGAACGAATGATTCCGAGATAAAGATCGAATTTAAATTTCGTTTCAACTAGCATTCACTGCTAATTAAGCTCGAACGAATGTTTCAAGGTGAAGATCAAGACGGAGGTTCTCGACGAGATCGAGAATTTCTCAGCGGACGATGAACTACACGTCGAGATCGATGGAAACAGGAAGCAGAGGTTCGAAGGGAGGAAAATTGGGAGCAGAACAGGGAGCGCGCAGACGAAACCGGAAGCAGCCATGCCGGATGAATACGTCGACTTTGAGGAGTACATCGCGGCCTTGACGAGCGGGAAACGGCTGCTCTGCAGTGTCTGTAGAATTGACTTTCCGGACGAGGCGGACTTCAAGACACACATGGTCGGCCATAGCCGGGGGAAGCTGTTCCAGTGTGGCTACTGTCGGAAACAGTTTTCACGGTGGGTGGGTCAAAACTCCTTTGGCTGTGCAGTTGTTTATTTAACGAATAGTCGCTTTTGTATTGCAACAATTCTCTTCTGAAAATTTTACACGATTTCTACGATTATTTTTTACTTAGTAAGTTGTTTATTGGATCCAGCTCGTGATGATGATTGTTGTTTTAAGGTTGACAACCTTGAAGGATCATATGCAGTTGCATGATGAGTTCAAGACGTTTCCTTGCAGTCAGTGCAATTTTCGATTTCAGGTATGTTTATAGGCTCATTGCAGTTGCTTGAAAGTTATTGAATAATTCTTCTAGTTGCATGTAAATTATAGAAACAGTGAATTATTGCTGCTGTTGCATATAAATTATAGAACTAGTGAATCATTGTTGCAGTTGCATATAAATTATAGATCTAGTGAATCGTTGTTGCAGTTGCATATAAATTATGGAACTCATGAATCATTGTTGCGGTTTCATATAAAAAGCTAGAGGTAAGAAGTCATTGCTGCAGTTGCATATAAAAAGATAGAAGTAGTCATTGCTGCAGTTGCACATAAATCATAGAACTAGTGAATCATTGTTGCAGTTGCATACAAAAAGATAGAAGTAAGAAATCATTGCTGCAGTTGCACATAAATTATAGTATTAGTGAATCACTGCTGCAGTTGCACATAAATCATAGAACTACTGAATCAGTCCTGCAGTTGCATATAAATTATAAAACTAGCGAATCATTGTTGCGGTTGCATAGAAATTTTACGAAATTCGGTGATTCTGTCTTGCATACAAAGTACAACAGATTCCCACTGCTGCAGAAATATTGCAGAATAATATTAACCATTCCTGCAACTGTGCACAAATTGCATCGTAACGTGCCACACCCAAATCACAGCAAACGATTGACGCACCGCAAAAATTGCAGAACAAAAACGACTTGAAGATCCACAAATCGGAATTGCACTCCGAGCGCAGACCGTTCGAATGCACCGTCTGCAAGAAGAAGCTGTTGCACCGGCAATCTCTTCGCGATCACAAGCTGATGCACACGAACGTGAAACCGTACGAGTGCTCAATCTGCAAGAAAAGCTTCCTACGTCTCAGCAGCCTAAGGGCTCACAAGATCGTTCACACCGCTGATCTGCCCTTCAAGTGCGACCTATGCTCCGCGAAGTTCAAACGTTCTTCGGTCCTGAAAACTCACAAACTGACGCACACAGGCGAGAGAAGGTTCGAGTGCGACATCTGCAAGCGTCGTTTCCACCTGAAAGGTGCTCTTAAGCATCATATCCTCTCCCATTACGGTGAGTTTTCTTTTTATTCGTCAAGTTCCACGCGGTTTCCACCGATGACGCGTTATTGCGCCCGGCGAAGCGACTCGTAAAACCATAAGTACGTATTCTTTTCGTTAGGCGTTTGGCTTCCTCTGAGTGAAAAACAGAGATGTTGAAAATATGTGACCTCTGTAGACGCCTTAATTTAATTGATATATTCTTGTTGTATTAATGAAACCAACAAGTGACAAAGTATTAAAAATATGTAACAGATATTATTGCTGTTTAAAAATCACGATACTGTCGCTGCTTAAATATAACTCCTTGAGACCATCAGGTCACAAAATATTAAAAAGATACTTCTCATGCCTCGAATATTGAATAAAAATTATTCGAATCTCATACTTGCACAATAATGTCAAAAAGTCACATTTGAGTCGGTTTTGATAACGTTTTATATTACAACATGTATACTCGACGTTTAAAACGTAATAACTTTGTGAAAAAAAATCGTAGAGCGAATTATCTTACCTCGTTTCAAAGAGGAGACTTCGAGCTTCAAATCTACCGTAGTTTGAATCACGAAAAAAATGCATTGTAGTCTGTAGAATGATTTGAATTTCGAAAGTATCTAGAATTAAAGGATTTAGAAAATATAAAATGTCTTCATTTTTTCCCGCTCGCCACGTGACTCACAAAATTTATGTTCTAAAAATGAATTCAGGTGTGTGAAAGCTAAGAATTCACGCTTTTAAATCAGCTTAGGTAGATTGCCATATGATTTTTTTGGTCGAAGTTATAATAATTTGAATGTGGACAATATCATTCTGAAAGTTTGTATGCTGACGCAGTTTATGATGATTATTGTTAATTAATGGTGTATCTATTGTTTATAAATTGTAGGTGTGAGACCGTACAAGTGCGAGGACTGCGGCAAGTGTTACAGGAGATCATGGGGCCTGAAGTTGCACATGTACCGGCACACAGGTGTGAAACGGTTCGAGTGCGACCTCTGCAAATCGCGATTCAGCGTGAAAACGAAACTGGCGAAGCACATATACGGTCACATCGGCGAGAAACCGTACAAATGCGGCTGCTGTGGTCGTCAATACGGCGAACGGTACCAGCTCAAAGCGCATAAATGCGTCGCTGCCGTTCAGAACTCGTCGAAAATGAGGATCGAGCAGCGGCTGATTGACTTGCCTCCGCAGATCGTATTCTTCCGACCGAAATCAACGATCGTCCCGAAAGTTATCAATCCTGTCGTTGGTACCTGAATCATGCGCTTTTGAAGAGCAAACATAATGAACGTAGAAAGAAACTATTCAAAGTGCGGTTTAACTATTGGTTCAAATACGAAAAATATTATTATTTTTATTTCAATTGGGCGCAACTGATTAATGATGCTGTGAACGATCTTGTACACTTACAGTTAATAAGTAGAATTAATAACCCTAAATTTTTTAGACTGTGGCACATTGTTTGCAAGCCGTTACATGCAAATACAGAAACATTTAACGAACTTGAAAATATTGTTACATTGTTTGCAGCTCATTGTAATTGATAAGGAAAATCTAACAAATATGGACATGTAAATAGAGGAACATTTAAAGAATTTAAGGATGCTGTTGCATTGTTTGCAGCTCATTACAATTGTTAAGGAAAATCTAACAAATATAGACATTGAAATAGAGGAACATTTAAAGAATTTAAGGATGCTGTTGCATCCTTAGCTCATTGCAATCCCTAAGAAACGTTTAACAAATACAGACATTTCTCAGTGAAAATAAAAGGACAGGACATCGACGAGAACCAATACAGCTGCCTTCTCGCTCGTCTCAGTGTCTGAATCATTTAAAAGTCTCAGTCCTTTAATCGTCATAAAGATCTCAGTGTTTCAAATATCGAGAAGGTCCCTAGAGTGGCAACAATCTTGCAAAAACGCACCGAGACCGTAGCGAAACGAGGGTCGAAACTGTTGTTTTAGCGCGGGATGGTTTCCCTCCGTCGCGGCTTTTGCTCTCCCATATAAATTCGAGCCGGTATTGAGACATAAAAATCATAGATAAGCGTGGCGCGCGGTTGTTGCCGTATCTTGGCTCCTCCGTTGGCTCGCAGCTCGGCCGGCCTTCGGCTTCGCAGCTCTATTAATTAGAGAATCAAGCATCATGGTGTTACACGGCTGCCAATTAACCCCTTCGCGGAATTCGCGCCGCGCCGTGGCGGCTGAAAGCTACTTAAATGGCAATAATGCCTCACTCGCGAACACACGTAGGCCCCGTAATGTATATTCCACGGTTTGTTTATGGGCTACCGGAAGCCCCGTTCGTAAATTTGCGGTGCTACCACACGATGTTTACCAGATCCTTCATTTCCATCGAGCAGCTCGCTATACTTCGTAAACCGTGGTTGTTGAAAAGATGGACGCCGAGTTCGGTTGTTTTAGCAAGTTCCTCACTGTAATTAGTCGTCGTTACTCGAGGTCCGATTTCCATACGGTAGCCTCGAAAAATCTCAGCGGAGGCATACGATCGTTCATCGACTAGAAAATTGCTCGCAGTAAAGCCTGGGCAAAGGTGCCATCCACTTTCTGTATCATTTTGTGTAATAAAATACACTGCTGGAAAGAATTATAGCGTAGACAAATTTTGGATACAAAAAATTGGCCACCTTCGACCGACGAGAACTCCGCGAAACATCATCATAAGGTGATCACTTTTCTTTCAAATTAAAGGTTAAAATCTCTACTTTAAGACAGCGTTCCTGAATTTTGAGTTTGACGCACCCTCTTGCCCTCACACTCACTTAAAGTAACCCTTTAATTATAAGACCATATTTATCATATTAAAAATTTGCCAAGTTTGACGCAATGTACAGATTTTTGTACAATTTTTTCCGGAGATACAATTTAAAGCTGATCGAAATTTGATCCTTCCCCTTTAATCTGAAAGAAAAGGAACTCGGCTACGATTTTTTTTCACAAAATTACAGAAGCTTAAAGCAACCATTGCATTTTTGCCATGTCCCACCGGCATTGGCATATGAATTCGACGTTCAAAGTGCAATGGCTTTGAAAACAGAAATCGTAGTGCGAATTAACTTACCCCGTTTTAAAGAGGAGACTTCGAACTTCAAATCCATAGTAGTGTCGCGAGAAAAAAGAAACTCGTCCACCAATTACAATAAAATGAAGCATCGTTTCATTGCAGGCCATTCTGCAACCTCTCCGATCTAAACGCTATCGGCTCCGATTTCGCTAGATCCCGACGAACCCGCTGCCTGTGGATCACGTTCACCAGTAATGGCAACTCATCTATTCGAAATTGTAGACTTTTCCCGGCCTCGTCCGTGTTTGCATGTCGGCGGATCTTAATAAGAACTCGGCCTTAATAAGTACCTAGCCGTGGAACAAAAGCCCGATTAATTCCGACCTGATCCGACTCGATTCGGATCGGCCTCCGACGCGCGGCCTAGCTTAGGTTCGTCATCAGAGCTCCTCACATAATCATAGTGGTTGTTCGCGTATCGCTGGAACGTGATCCGCGCGCTTGATTACCGAACAATCCGGACCATTTCGTTTGCTGGCGGACCTTTGGAAGCAGTGCTTCACCCCCGAAGAAACTATATCGGTTGGAACTCCGGTGTCAGTCATCTTAATGATCTTGCCTAATGAATGGCTGTAATCGGAATTATGTCTGAGATTTTAGGGAATGTCGAAATTGATGGTCGTTGATTGATGTAACTGGTATAATACTGATCTTGCATAGGCAAGAAGTGGAAGATATTGAGAAACAGTAATGAAATTCGAGGCAGTGCTGCATTGTTTGCAACCCATTACAATTATTTTAATAATTGCCTTCAAAAATATCGACATGCTAATAGAGAGACAATTAAAGAGCTTAAAAATACTGTTACATTGTTCGCACCTCGTTAAAATCATGGAGGAGAGTTCAACAAATACAGTAAATTCTCCCTAATTGGCACTCANGGAACTCGGCTACGATTTTTTTTCACAAAATTACAGAAGCTTAAAGCAACCATTGCATTTTTGCCATGTCCCACCGGCATTGGCATATGAATTCGACGTTCAAAGTGCAATGGCTTTGAAAACAGAAATCGTAGTGCGAATTAACTTACCCCGTTTTAAAGAGGAGACTTCGAACTTCAAATCCATAGTAGTGTCGCGAGAAAAAAGAAACTCGTCCACCAATTACAATAAAATGAAGCATCGTTTCATTGCAGGCCATTCTGCAACCTCTCCGATCTAAACGCTATCGGCTCCGATTTCGCTAGATCCCGACGAACCCGCTGCCTGTGGATCACGTTCACCAGTAATGGCAACTCATCTATTCGAAATTGTAGACTTTTCCCGGCCTCGTCCGTGTTTGCATGTCGGCGGATCTTAATAAGAACTCGGCCTTAATAAGTACCTAGCCGTGGAACAAAAGCCCGATTAATTCCGACCTGATCCGACTCGATTCGGATCGGCCTCCGACGCGCGGCCTAGCTTAGGTTCGTCATCAGAGCTCCTCACATAATCATAGTGGTTGTTCGCGTATCGCTGGAACGTGATCCGCGCGCTTGATTACCGAACAATCCGGACCATTTCGTTTGCTGGCGGACCTTTGGAAGCAGTGCTTCACCCCCGAAGAAACTATATCGGTTGGAACTCCGGTGTCAGTCATCTTAATGATCTTGCCTAATGAATGGCTGTAATCGGAATTATGTCTGAGATTTTAGGGAATGTCGAAATTGATGGTCGTTGATTGATGTAACTGGTATAATACTGATCTTGCATAGGCAAGAAGTGGAAGATATTGAGAAACAGTAATGAAATTCGAGGCAGTGCTGCATTGTTTGCAACCCATTACAATTATTTTAATAATTGCCTTCAAAAATATCGACATGCTAATAGAGAGACAATTAAAGAGCTTAAAAATACTGTTACATTGTTCGCACCTCGTTAAAATCATGGAGGAGAGTTCAACAAATACAGTAAATTCTCCCTAATTGGCACTCAAATTGTACACAAAAATGGACAATTTTGGAAGAGGAGATACGATTATTATAATATTAATGTCTATACAGACATTTCTGAGTCAAAATAAAATAAAGCAACATCGACGAGAACCAATATGGCTGCCATCTCACAATCATTCAATCATTCGAAGGTCTCAGAGTCCTAAAGACTGAATCGCTTTAAGCTCTCATTCCTTATTTATTTAAAGAATCTCAGTGATTCGGTTGTTTAAAAGTCTCAAAGCTTCGACCATTCAAAGGTCTCAGTCTTCTAATCGTGTGTCAAATGAAACACGAAACTGTCAATCCTTTAATCGCGCGTCGACCAAAAGCTAAACGTGCGAATCCTTTAATCGCGCGTCAAACAGCAATCATCTTCTCAGCTCGCCAGCCCGTGGCTCGTCGATTACCAAAACACACCTTAATCTCTTCATCTGGATTTAATTGAACCATAAGCGACGCGCCATTTTCGTCGTGGCTTTTTCCCGTTAAACCTGTCCGGATACCTGTCCACCTGGAATTCTTTTCAAGGGTACATTATATAATTTGCTTTTGATAATATGCGAACCGGTCGTCGCCGGTCGGCCTCTCTCAACTGTGCATCTCGAGCACGTGGGCCACGGTTCTGTCGCCGCACGTGAGAATGGTACTTTAAGGTGCGTGGACACAGCGGGGGCTCGCGTACGGTAATCCGAGAAGAACCGCCCTTTATCTGATTGCATCTGTGATTCGCGAGCCTCCGGGTGGAACCCTTTGACCATGCCGACACACGCATGTCGCCTCGCGGCCACGTTTTTCCGTCTCTATTCACGAATTCGCCGTGCGTCCCGGGCCCCCACCCTGTAAAGAAATTCCGGCCCCCCTCGGGCCCCCGTATTGGCCATCGACTCCTTGAACTATTAAGGCCCGGCTGCTCTAGGAGATCTTTAAATTCCATCGAATTTCCGGGTCGATTTAAGGTACCATTTCGTTTAAATAGTATCTTCCTAAACGCTGAATCTATAAAATGTATTAAAGTGACAGACGTGTGTTGCTGTTTTATTAGAATAATAAAACTGGGTTTGTTCATATATTCTGCCGCGTTTAGCATAATGTATGGTTCAATCGAGAAATTCATTCAATTATTTTCTCTCGAAGAGACGACATAATCTTTTGTTAATCAATGATTCTGTATCACAAATCGGTAGAGGATGATTTAAAGATTCCTGGATATTTTGGGCATTTTGAAAATGTATTTTTTATTTGAAATCAAAGGACCTAGACGTTTCACTGTCCAAAGGGAGGACAACTATGAAACTATGTTGACAGAGCATTTTTATAAATGTAGAAGATTGCAGATTTTTATCTTGCTTGCACCGATACAAAATAATTTTTAAATAGCATTTGTCAAGCCTCATTTATGTGGAAATGTTAAAATATAAATAAACAGGAATTTGACTAAAAATGGAAAAGATTGCATTATAAGGTATCATCATTGCAAATATTTGCTAAAATGAATAAACAATTGTCACTCAAGAATGTATGCACTGTATAATGACTCAGAGAGCCTCCAAAAATTAAACGAAAAATTATCAGTCGACCTATAGATGAAGAAAT